GACCCCTCCTTGGGTTTCTGAGGTGTTATCACTGTGGAAGTAGATTGTGCAATCTTCCTTCCAAGGAGTGGCTGGTGGGTTTGAACCACCAGCCTTCTGGTTAGCAGTCAAATGCCTTAGGCACTACACCATCAGAGCTCCCCAGAGGTAACCAAAACAGAATTTTGTACCAGGATTAAAGTGGTGCTCTGACAGATACTTAAATGTGGAAACAGGAATAGAGTGTGTCCTTGATCCGAGACACTGGCAGAGAGACAACAGCAGAGAGAAGGCAGCACCAAAACCAAGGGACCAGCATGAGATAGCAACAGGCTTACCAGCCTACAGAGGAGAAAGATGGATGCTTTTGAGTAGATGGCTTCTGGTGGAGTGAGTTGCCTTCAGGCATTAACTGGTAGAAGATATCCACATACTACACAAAAACATTGTTCTACATCCTACTTTGGTGAGTAAAGACTGGGGTCCTAAAAGTGTTCAAGTAATCATCTAGATGCAACAATGGGTCTCTCCTCATCCAGAACAAGAAGAGTGAAGAAAACCAGAGACACATGGAAATAATTTGTCCAAGGGACTAGGGGACCATGTGAATCTCAGCCTATATGACCATGAGACCAGAAGAACTAGATGGTGCCCAGCTACTGCTGTCAACCACTCAGAAAGGGATTAATGTAGGAGATATTGGATAGGGTAGGAGAACAATGTGGAACAAAATGCAAAATCATAAAAAAGATCTTGTTTAGTGGTCTGATACAGCCTTGTGAGGTCCCCAAGAATATGGCTTCTAGACAGTACTAGACCTTTCAAGTCTAGAATTGAACTCACTCCCATGGCTTCCAGCCAAACAAGAGACAAGCATATGGGGTGAATATTTACATCAGGTAGATACACTTCTTAGAATGGTAAATCATGGTAGAACACAAGGGCAGTATATACACAGGGAGATAGCTCAGGAGGCAGGACTGAATAGGAAAGAGGGACACAGGAAAGAGATAACTACAGAGAGGAAGTAGGAAGAGAGCTATTACATTGTGGGGAACTGAAGTCAATGTCATGAGACAAAATGTGTATGAACTGCTGTATGGAAAATGAATTTGCTCTGTAAACTTTCACCTAAATCACGATAAAAATTTAAAAAGAGAAAGAAAGAGAGAAGCCTGCAGCTTCAGTGGCCAGGAGCAAGAGGCAGAGCTGAAACTCAAGGTCAAAGAGCTTTAAGCAGCCCCTAGAGCTGGTACTTTGAACTCGGACTTTCAGCCTCCTAAACTGTAAGAGAATAAATCCTCGTTTGTAAAAGACACCCATTTCTGGTATAGTTTATGTTAGAGTGGCACTAGAGGTAACCAAGGGAGCTCTGGTAGCATAGTGGCTAAGACACTTGCCTGCTAACCAAAC